CAATAAATTTAACTTTACAAAATTATAATTATAAAATAAATTAATATATCTACTAACAAATTACATAACATATAAAACTAAATTAAAAGTATAGATAGATAGATAGATAAGTTAGTATCCATATGTATAAGGAAGCATTAAAAGAAAATATTCTAAACCTTAAAAAAAATTATAATATAATATTTTCTAAACTAAAATAAGCTTCTTTACTCCTTTTAAATTAGAGCATGTAGATTGGAATTGCTTGACTTGTCCAGTAATGATAGAAATCGATCTCTACCAATAGCCTTGGTTAAGATATCTGTCAATTAATATTGAGAATAAATTGATCATGGTAACAAAAACTTAGACTAAATATGTTGCCGAACAAAATGATAGTACTAGATTAACGATTATATAGAGCGCCACTTGATTGTCACCAAATAAAAAAATGTGGCCAGGATGGGGAATGCCTAAGTTAAAGAATAGGAAACAAAGCCAAACAATCTCATTTGCAGTAGTTGTCATGACTCTATGTTCGATTTCAGCTGTGGAATGAGAAACAATATATTGCTTCTTAGACCCAAGGTCTTTAATATGAAAAGTGATATTCAAATACTATTTGAGTTAAGAAATTTTAGCACAATTATTTCTCATGAAGCATCATCAAGTCATCAACATAAATAAGAATAGTAATAAAAGAACCTTGCTCAACGAAAGTAAATAAAGAGTGATATGAAAATGACTAAATTAATAAAACCCACTGTAAATAATGACTGAGTACAGTTTTAGATGTGTTTTTAAAATATAATTTTTAGAAATATAATTATTATGAATGTGATATTTGTATTTTATTGAAAATGAAAAATCTAAATAATATATATATATATATATATATGTAATAAAAAAAACAATAACAATAGTAGAATTGAAGAGAAAGATTATAGAAAAATGAATTCACTATAAGATAAAGTGAATATAAGATATAACAACTTTAAATAATTTCTCAATCTGTACAAAATACTTGTGCATAAACTAATGAACAATCAAGCTTATTTATAGACTTTAAGATTAAGAAGAGAATTTGAAAGGATTATGAACCATTAAAAGATGCATAAATAATTAAATAAATCGTATCACCCTTCAAATGTTCATATTGAATGGTGAATTAGATCATATGAATAGTGGAGAATATGAAATGAATATTTATTATTTCATAGCACTCCTCCTGAATGTCCATCGTACGAGCGAATACGCTCGTTAAAACCTTACTAGAAAAAAACTAAGTGGAAAAAAGTCTTAGTGAAAGAAAAAGAGTATAATATTCATTGTCATAAACGAAAAAACCACTTCCATTTTTATTATTTAAAAAAAAACCACAAAACAATAAAAAAAATATAAATATAAAAAAAGAGGAGGGAAACTGATTGAAGTCTATCCCAATCTTCTCTTTGATTTTTTTTCCAAATTCAATTTATCTCGGTTGTTTAGCTAATCAGAATCATATTTCAATAGCAGAAGTTGAATTCAAATTGGACAGCTAAAAATCTGAATTTTTAGATATTTGATTTTGGATGAAATTCGAATCGGAAAGTAGTTGATTTGAGATGAAACTCAAACATGTCAGTGTCCATAAAAAGGCAACATCCTAGGGAAAAAAGGAGGAAGATCGAAAACAAAAGGAGGAGATTTCTAGGCTGTTAAGCAGTGAATTTAGTTGTCATTTTCTAGGCAATTTGTTTCCTTTTGTTTTGTGGGTAGCTATTAGACAGTGTTCTTCTGGGACTTGATTTCTGGGCAAGTTGTTCTTCACTTAGGGGAATTCTGGGGAAGGATTAAAAAAAAGGGAAAAGGGAAGAAATTCTAGGTTATAAAGCGAGCGTGAAAAAAAAAGGTAAAATCCAAGGGATTTTACTTGAGTTCTGGTTCTGTGTTCTTGGGAAATTTTTGGGTTTTAGTTTGAGAAGCTCATCTGTTCATTACTCGTGCTTCGTGTTCATAATTTTGGGCTTCGATTCTGGGATTCTAGTTATCAATTAAGCCATCAAGATCAATCATAAACTCACTCAATTAAGCCATCAAGATCAATCATAAACTCACTTATCCCTTGAAAGTCAGCCTGACATTTGGTTCTCCGTCATTCACTTCATAAGACAACAATCATTTATTTTAAGTCAGTTTTTTCCCTTTTTCCCAATTTGCATTTCGTTCGTTGCTGTGATTTGATTTCATGTTATTCAAGCTTTAATCTTAGTTTGTTGAGATGAGAAAAACGAGAGCCTTTGATAAATTAAAAAAAATGTGAGATGACTCTTGTGAAATCAAGAGAGAGAGAGTTAGAAAATGAACAGAACTAGAGAAATAGGAACATGAATGAAAAGAGTAAAAAACTCTGATGAGTTTTCATTTGATCCAAAAAATAAAGTAAGAGGAGGTTGGGTCTTGTTATAGGTTGGAAGTCCAGCTTAAGGTTTGATTTTTTTTTTTTTTTTTAACAAAAGATTGGGGCGTGGGTTGGGTTTAGCCCAACCCACACGAATTGGAAGGCTGGGCTGACTTCTACCTAGCCTTGGCCTAACAATTTTTAAAAAAAATAAGGAGGAAAGAGGCTGGACTTGGATTTGATCCAGCCTTCCTTTCCCTTTCCTCCAAATTTAGAAGAAAGCTGGAGTAAGTTCAGCCTTCACAAGAAAAAAAAAGATCAATAAAGAAGTAAAGAAACGGGATGGTAAAAGTGATGAGCTGGGAAAAAAAAATGGAATTGAAAAGTGAAGAAATAGGGTACAGGATAGTGGGTCTAGGGTCCAAGCTAACTTATTTTAACATTTTTTTTTATATAGCTTGATTATTTTTTTTAATTATTTCTCGTTTTTTTCCTTTTTCCTTTTTGTTGCAGTACTTTAAAGTTGGTATTTTAATTTTTAGGTGAGCTTATTTTCGTGTGCTGTTAGATTAGAAAAATAATAAAAAACAAAAAAAAACAAAAAATATCTAAGTTTTTTAACAAAGTCTCCTATTTGATAGGGATTGACGTCACAAAAAAATCATCGTTTAATCGGGATGTCCTCCGACACACCGATTATGTCAAGGCTTAATGTGGATCCGATGTTTGAACCGACGTGTCGCCCGATGAAGGAGATCGACGATCGTTTCAATACGATGCCATGCTCAAAACTTTAAAAAAAAAAAAAATTGGCTTTAAAAATCAGAGTTTCAAATCAAAAAATAATTTGACATAAATGAAACATTTTAGGAGATAAATTTAGGACTAAACTAGACATGATACCTTTCTTCGGAAAGGGCACTTTTGGGTGAATAAATATCTTTCCAAAAGTGTAACCAACTCCTTACCATAGAATCTCTAAACTAGTGTTACTTTTAGGTTTTTAGTTCCATAGCACTAGGTGGCGACTCGAACTTGTAAATAAAAATTAACTCTATAAATAGGAATTTAATTTTAAGGAGTCTCATCCAACGTCGAGGTAGCAACATTCATTATACACATTAATCTCAATGTTGGCCTTTGGCCTCCCCCGTTGAAAACATCATTTGAGATCTTTAAGATGATGTATTTCAATCTTGTGAATCATCTTCTCAAAAGTCATGATAGGTAATGCCTTAGTGAACAAATCTGCTCAATTGTCACTTGATCGAATTCTTCCTTTAATTGAATTATACGAGGAGCATTATCTTGATATGATATTGTTAGAACTTTTTTTTGTTAGTAGATAAATTGCATGTCTCTTAGATATGATGAATCATTGATATTAGCCAAACATATTCTCGACTTGCCTCATAATATAGTTTGCTTCACAAAATGTCATGATATAGATGTATCATCAAGTGTAAATACATAACCCATTTGTGATCGAGTTTTGTATAGATTAGATAAATAACATAAATCCGTATAACCGAGTTAAATCTAACTTTGATTTATTTGCGTAAAATAAAAATCATATCAAATTTTCCTCAAAGATAACGTAGGAAATGTTTAATTTCATTCCAATCTTCTTATTGGAGTAGAACTATGACTTGTTAATAAATATATAAAAAAGAATATATCGAGTCGAGTATTATTAGCAAAATATATCAATGCACCGAGTGACAATAAGATATGGTACTTTAGGACTAAGTAATTCTTTGTTATCTTCTCAAGGTCGAAAAGTGTCTTTTTGTATATCAAATGAATGAACTTGTCATTGGGCTAGTCAATGGATGATTTTTATATAGAATAATTGTAGAACTTTTTCTATATAAATTGACTAATGAATAAAAATATCATTCTTTAAGCCTTCGAATTACGAGTCAAGATAAAATTTTGTTGCCTAAAGTATTCATATCAAATTCTCCTTTTAGCTAACTCATAGCATTTAGAATCTCTTCGGGAGTTCCAATAATATTCAAATCACCATCATCATATGTAATTGATTTATTTTTGCATTAAATAATTAAAATAATGTATTGGCTTAACCACTAAATGATTCAAATTAATATAGTTTTTTATTTTAATATTATTCATTATGTTATAAATAGATATATAAAAATTAAATTCATATTTTTTTAAAAAATTGATATTTTCATCAACATTAAATAAAAAAAATTATTTGTTCAATTCTATTTGTTATTTATGGTTTTCGACACAATCTTATGAAATAATAAAGCTTTTTAAAAAAAATTATTTGATTTTTTTAGTTAATAATCCATGGATTGACAAGGATAAATCCTTTTTTTCTAAAGAAAAAATTATGAAAAACACAAATAAGAAATAGTTAAATACAATATTTTTTATTAAAAAATTATAAATATTTTTTTTCACCTTTGATTTCATATATATTTTTAAACGATTTCATATATTTTATCTAATCCGTAGCGTAACATGAGTAAAAAAAACTAGTTCCTACTATTTTTGATTTGGATCTCTAGCCGCTACGAGATCCCCCTGCTCTTCCCACACCCACACCGTCTGCTTTTGTTCCAGGTTCATGGGCTTTATTTGATACTCTTGTGTCCAACCCACTTTGTCATTCTGACATTGCCAATAATTCGGCCTTCCAAATGAGCCGAAGCCCAATCATGACACCCTCCGAAACCCACTCTTCTGCGCCATGTGCTAGCCTAGAATCCAGGTCCAATATGTTGCTACCACCCACATATGGCGCTTCTGTTCCTGCACAATCTGAGCCAACTCTTGCGGCCTTTCCTAAAACTGGCCCTTCACAGCCTGCAGCCCGGCCATGTTCCTCCGCCACAAAACCTGTTCCAGCAAAATCTAAGCTGAATCATTTTGCCTTTCCTGACATTGGACCTTCACAGCCTACAGCCCGGCCATGTTCTCTAGCCTAAAGACACCCAATGATCAATCGGTCTCAAACTGGCTGTTTGAAACCCAAGACCTTTTCTTCTACTACTTCGCCTCCTCCAAACCCTTAGTCCCATGGTCAGCCTGCCAAGAGTACTCACTGGCGGCAAGCCATGGTTAAAGAAATTAATGCTTTATTTGCCAATGACACTTGGGATTCAGTATCAGCTGATATTCCCCAAAATATTGTGGGTTGTAAGCAATTGGGATTAAGAATTCTATAATCTAACAAAAGGAAAAATTGATTAAATAATTGTTAGACTCTTCTTCAACTAATTCCAGAAGCACACCAACTCATCTCCTCTGATTGCTACCGTTTTTCTAAAAGTTCTTTAGATTTTTTATGCATTCCGCGGTCAATCAAAACTTATGAAATCTATCCATCCACTAACTTACAAATTACTTGTGATTTTACAGCAAGCATTGATATCTACCTAAATTGCATTTATATCCAAACATAATATTCATATTATATAAAGATGATGGATTCACACATCTAATGTAATAAATAAATTAATTCATTTTCCATGCCTATATATATATAGGCATTTCATTTTTTTTTTTTTTTTACCGACTTAAGAATTAGAATGTCTTTCATCATGTTGGAATACTTAGGTCCGTTTTGCAACTTAACCTTATTTTATATCAAATCTAACTACTCTAATTATCAAATTTAATAATTTCAATAAAGTTTTCTGTACTAATTACTTTTATCCCATCTAGTCAACCTCTTTTTTAAGGTCAACAACCACCATGAGATTTTTCGGCATCCAGAGAAGAGAGAAAGAGGACAAAGTTCTGCAGGCAGGGACAGGAAGTCTATCAAAGCAAAAATTTTCTATATTAATACTTAGATTTTTTTTTTTTCCTGAAAGGATCTTTATTAGTTGTTATGACATCAATTATTTTTTATTTTTCCCATTCGAACTCTTATTCTATTTTTATTTTTTTTAACTCACATATCCAACACATATATTCAAAATTCTTAACGGAATTAATCTATTAGGATTTTGAATTCGTGATCTCTTACAAGAAACTACTATAACTAAACTATAAGCCCTTTGGTTTTTTCTCACTGAAACTCAATTTGATATATATGTTGATTTCTTTAATGTATAAGGTAAGATTTTTTTTTCCTCCGTTCATAATTTACTTTTATGATTTAGATAGACCAAATTCTCCTCTTTAGACTTTTCAGAATGATAATGTCAAATGTTGGTATTACATTCAAAGTCAAAGAATGCAATTACAAATAGAAACTCCTTGTTTTTGTATTGGAACATTCAAATGTTGCCTTCTTTTATCCTTACATATCACCAAACTTAAGTTTGTTTGCAAACAATTTTGGTCATACTTCATATTATTTTAGATAAATAAGTCAATCTATCTTTATATAATAACCTAAGTCTTCAATCTGTTTCTACTTTCTAATTATAACTACTATATTTCTAAATATTATTTTAGTCTCCGATATATCATTTCGATCACGAGCAAATTTTTTTCCGAAATATCCATCGATGAAATGTCAAAAAAAAAATAAAAAAGTTTAAAGTCACATGACTTGCATGCTCTTTTTTTAATTATTTAGAACTTTATTTTTTGCATTTCGAAAAAAAAATTCTTCATCGTACAAAAAATTGATCGAAAAGATAAATTAGAGACTTAAATATTATTTAAAGATATTATAAATACAATTAAAAACATAGAGACTCGAGCAATTATATAAAGACATATTGAACTATTTACCCTATTATTTCTTATAAAAGATTTTTTTTCTAAATATTATCCATCAATTAAATATTTAATATTTCAAAAAAATTAATAGACTAACTAAAATTTTGAAAACTCAATTTTCATATAATTATTGTTTTTTATTTGAATTAATTTTAAATTTTAATAATTAGAAAATAATCTTCCAATAAAATTTGAGTATGTCAAGATAAAATATTTCATAGTTATACTACATATAAGAGGTAATATAGTATATTAATAAAACTTATAATAAATATGTTATTAATAAATATTTATAGAGTGAAAGTGACACCATCATCTTAAATACAATGAGGGCTTTTTTTATTGAAATTAATTTGAAAATATTTTTGGCCAATCTCATATTAGTATGAGTCATGGGGAAACAATGAGGAATAATAAGAGGTCAAGCGACAAAAATTGGGAAATGAGGGATCAAAATATCCGAATCGAGGGAATCGAGAGGTCCAATCGAGGAAAATTAAAGCATATAGGGAGCAAAGTGTAAACATTTTGTAAAGTTGTGAACGAGACTTAAACACTCAAATTTTGGATGACTTGTCGTTCATTTTATCTCCTACTAGCCTGCTAGAACTCCTTCTCTCCCAGCTATTCATCATCTTCTTTAACAAAAAAATCATTTGTTACTCGTCCAAAAAATCTTGGGCGACATTTGTACCAACCCAAAAATCATGTCTCCACTTGTCCTAACTAGTACACCGATATTCCGTCCATGCTAGCACCAATAAAAAACAAAAAATACCTCATTATCCTTCTCCCTTTTGATGCCTTGAAACAGTGCCCCTAAAAACACTTCCCAAGGATTAGAAAGTTTTGGCAATGAAAAAAGAAAAAGAGAGAAGTAAACCAATGGTCATGATACCCGATATAAAATAGAGGGCTTGGATAAAAACTAAAAAAAAAAAAAAAGCAATGAAAATGAGGAAGGATATAAGGAGAAAATGAGGGTTTTACGGGACGATGATGAAAACAAAAGATCGTGTAGAAAGAGATTTTTGAAAACTAATCGGATGAACGATCAACAAGCCGATCAAGATGTAGAAACTAATGTTATGACTTATAAAAATAATGATCAAACATTTAAGCAGAAATTATGTAAATAGTAAGAGAGGTAGGAGGAGAAGTACGTAGTGATAGCAATATGCGAGTTAGGTGGGCGACAAGTAGGTAGTCAAAGTTCAAACAAATAGAGTTTTATGTGTTGTCCGGTATATAAGTAAGAGAGCTTTGAGATAAAGAGTTTAAGGGGTTTATTTTGCTAGAGAATGAAAATTATGAAGTCAAAAGTCTTATATTACAAAAATTCTAATCCCCTCATAATGATATAATGTTGGTATTTATAATAATAGAAGATGACCTTATTAAGTTATGGGGGTTGATGTGGATAAAGGCCCATAGTATAAGGTGCTATATAGATCAAGCACAACGAGTCTCACTATAAATAGAGGCAACATTACTTATATTTGTAACTTCCACTTAATAAAACTTAATAAGAAATCCTAGTGCAGCTATAGAGTATGCACCAATGTCAAACCACGTAAAATCTTTGTGTTATATGATTTTTCTTATATTTCTACTCTAATCTTTTTCTTGATTTGTTTTCTAAGAAATAGTATCGGACCCACTAGGTTAGCAGGGGTAAGGAGGAACATTGGAAGAAGTAAAAAAAGTTAGATTGATAAGTTTGATGACAAATACTTTAGATTTTGAAAAATGCAAATTGAAGATTATCTATACCGAAAAAACTACACAAACCCTTATTAAGGAAAAAGCCGGAGGGGATGAAAAATGCTGATTGGATTTTGTTGGATCATTAGGCTCTAGGTGTTATTCGAGTAACCTTGACTTGAAACATTACTTTTAACTTCATGAAAGAAAAGACCACAACAGATTTGATGATAATGCTTGTCAAATTAAAGAAACATGCATCCTATGGAGGTGTGTAATAAATAAAACTTTTCTTTATCTAAGGCCCCAAGATCAAGCCATTGAATTTACTAATCATACATACATGAATAATAGGCTCTAAGTAAAGAATTACCTCTTGCAGTCGCAGATCTAAATTCTTTTCGGAAAAGTCGTCCAAGTGTCCAGCCTCTATCGATGATCCATGCGGTTCAAGTATCCACAAAGAAGCACTCAAAATCGGTGAGGTGCTAGCTCTACCTCTTCGATTTAGTATATCTTGTAGAAATCAATCCCGATAATTTTGTGACAACCTTAAAGGAGAAGAAAAGAGTATTTCTAACTAAGGTTTATGAGAAAAATATTTTCTTCTTATTTTTTCTCTTGGCCGTGTGCCCTATTTAACTTTAGGGCTGGCCAAAACTTTTCTCTCTCTCTTTTTTTTTCTTTTTTTCGAATTACTTTTTTGTTGATTAACCTCCTATATGCCGCACCTCTCCTCCTATTTATAAGGGGAGAGTTTCTTTATCCTCCAAGGACAAGAAGAGGGGTGCCCATAAGTCTTTTTAGGACTCTAGGTTGTTACTTTCTTATCCTTCAAAGATGAGGAGTTATTTTATACATGGACTATTTTATTATTATCTTTAAAACATCCAACTTTATCTAATAAGGTTAATGTTTATCTTTTAAACATACAACCTTATACATTGAGGTTGATGTTTATCCTTCCATCAAAATATCTTAAGGCTTTTATTCAAACCTAATGGGCCAAAACTATTTTAGCCCAATTAAGTTATTTGGACTATCTAATTAAATATTCTTAGATTATTTTAGTGGGGTATATATTAGGAAATAATTTTTTAAAATACCCTTTAATCTAAATTAGGAAACTCTTTTCCTTTTAGGTTCTTTATTTTCAAATTTGAAACTAACTTTCAAATTAGAAAATCGATTTCTAAAATAGAAAGCTTTTCATTTTAGAAAAATTTCTATTTTGGAAACTCTTTCCAAAATAGGAAACTTTTTTTTTATATATATAATTGAAAAAACTTTTTACAATATCCTTGTTTCTCATTTATTATGTGAATACTTAAACTTATATGTGTGACTCAATAGGTTCTTAGATATGTTGACAATATATCAAGAATAAAAGAATCCTCTTTTATCTCTTGATACATAAATCAAGATTGGCATACAAGCAAGGCATCATAACTACCTAATTCTCTAGAAGGATTAATTAATCCATTATTACTTTTCGGGAGTATAGTTACTATACAATTCGGTTCTCATATCAACTTATCATAGTGTGATCTCGAATTTGGTTATTAGTCTTGCTCGATTATGATCACATAAGTTTTTTTTTATTCTTAAATGTCTTAGCTCTTAGAGTAGACCAACTATG